CATACTGCACTGATTGGCGGGTATATAGGGGGAGGGGCAGTCTGGACATACCCCAGCTGACGCAGACACCGCGCAGGCATGTACGGCTCGACGACATTGCGGTATCGAATCAATCCGCTATAAAGAGTCCTCGGCTCTATCGCATCTGGGCTGGAGCTGCCGTATGGCAACCATTGCATCTGTTCACAATTGCATAAGAGCATTTATAAAAATAATTGTATTATTTTAAATAACGGGTAACTAAATTTAAATAAAATAACTTCACGTACATCGGAGGCAGTGAGTCTGTCGAGGCGCCGATGGATGGCTGTGAGCCGATCGTCTGACCGTGGCGCATTCTCTACGCTCCACGAGCGTGATCGTGCAAGACAGTCAGGACCGATGGGTAGACGCCCCCGGGGTCGGAAATCGGGGAAATACTCATATATCCAGGACTGCAGAAGAGTCAAGCAGCCCGACATCTGGGCAGAGTCCCCTCGGCAGGCAATACCTAGTTGTCTGTACATGTATGCCAGCGTAGCCGATCCCCATGAGTAACCCCCAATCAAATCCAAGCCGTCGAGCACCTCGTGCAAGAGCTTTGGGGTCACTCTACTACCACTCTTGTCGACGAACAAAGTGGTAGCCAGCATCACCCACATCCAGGCACCCGTCTCATCCCTAGCCGGCCGGCGTTTCCCCTTTGAATGCCCCCGAAATGGCAGCTTCGGACACCGAACCACGCTGCCAGAACGAACTCATGAGTTCGCCCTTGGTGACCGAAAGTATCGACATGCAGAGCCCATGGCAGGCGTCCGAATCCGGGTCCTCAGCGACCACGACTCCCTCCACTGGAACGCCCAAAATGGCCCGGACGACGTGCAACATGATGCTCATCTCACCAAAAGGCATGTGAAACGAGTTAGTATCCGGCTGCCATCGCTCCACAAAAGCAGAAAGGAGTGGGGTGTCCAAGTGGATGTGCATGAAGTCGACCAAATGTGACAGCCCGGTCTGGTCGAGAAGAGCTCCCGCATCGGAAGACATCTCTTCACACCAAGCCTTCAGATTCTCGATCGCTCGCAGTCTGTTGTGGCATTTCAGCGGCCCCCTCAAATTCCCACTCCACATGCGGGAGGCGACGTGCCCAAGAAAGCTAGGGATGACACTCCCATCAATGGGCCCACCGGGCACTGGGCCTCTAACGATCCAAGGTGCATCATCATCGGTCCTAGCTCGTTTGCTAGTACCTGCATTAAAATACAACATATCTGTATATATTGACTTGCTGGCAGATGCATTAAATAAAATATATTTAATAAAACATATTTTATTAATTACGTTACATTTTACATTTTACGTTATTATTATAAGCATATATAATTTATAATTATTAATATTATTTTTTGAATTTATAATTAATTACAATTTATTCAACTTACCCTAAATTACAAAATAATTATACCGTAGTTGAGGAGCAGGCCGATAATACTTTTCTAACAGTATCGATAATTTGTTATGATTAAGTGAAAATAATTTATGTTAAACAACAATAAATAAGTAATTATTTACCTGATGAGGATGCAGATGGGCCAAAACGCCCCCCAGCCTGTCGTTGAGGAGCAGACTGTGTGGGACGAACAGCATGTACCGAACGAACATGCTGTAGAACCGGCTGTACCGGACGAACTGGCTGTACAGCCGGCGGGCAGGACTGGCCCATCTGAATATATTGAATAAATTTATTCCGCCGGGGGGGCGGGAACTCTGGCTAGCCTGACGAAGCTGTACCCTACGAGCCTCATCGATCAACGTCTGCCTTTCCGTGTCCCTCTCCCGACGAACGGACGCATTGACACCCCGACTTCTAGTGTGTCGGGTGCCAGAACCATCATAATAGTAATCGTACGCCTCGTCGTCGTCCCTGGCATTAGATTGTCCAGTTCTGCCAACACCCTGAAAGGCAGGCGTTGATCGATGAGGCTCGTAGGGTACAGCTTCGTCAGGCTAGCCAGAGTTCCTCAACTACGGTATAATTATTTTGTAATTATGGTAAGTTGAATAAATTGTAATTAATTATAAATTCAAAAAATAATATTAATAATTATAAATTATATATGCTTATAATAATAACGTAAAATGTAAAATGTAACGTAACTAATAAAATATGTTTTATTAAATATATTTTATTTAATGCATCTGCCAGCAAGTCAATAGATATGTTGTATTTTAATGCAGGTACTAGCAAACGAGGTAGGACCGATGATGATGCACCTTGGATCGTTAGAGGCCCAGTGCCCGGTGGGCCCATTGATGGGAGTGTCATCCCTAGCTTTCTTGGGCACGTCGCCTCCCGCATGTGGAGTGGGAATTTGAGGGGGCCGCTGAAATGCCACAACAGACTGCGAGCGATTGAGAATCTGAAGGCTTGATGTGAAGAGATGTCTTCCGATGCGGGAGCTCTTCTCGACCAGACCAGGCTGTCACATTTGGTCGACTACGGTATAATTATAATTTATAATAAGTAATTATAATTTATTCACTTTATAATTTATCCTGGCCAGGATAATAAAATCCATGTTCGCCGTACGGGAGGGCTCCGTGGGGTCGCGAACTACCTGGCTGGCCCTCAAAATGATATGGACCAGTGGGCACTGGTGCGGGGGGGCGGGAACTCTGGCTAGCCTGACGAAGCTGTACCCTACGAGCCTCATCGTTCAACGCCTGCCTTTCCGTGTCCCTCTCCCGACGAACGGACGCATTGACACCCCGACTTCTAGTGTGTCGGGTGCCAGAACCATCATAATAGTCATCGTACGCCTCGTCGTCGTCCCTGGCATTAGATTGTCCAGGTCTGCCAACACCCTGAATCAGAAATATAATTATTAGATTTTT